GGTTGGTATCTGGTCATGTAACTGAAAAATTTTTGATGGCGGTTTGCTTTTCAATAAAACGAAAAAGTTTTCTTATTAAAAACTTCACTGGTCAAAACAAAACTTATTCTCGTTTCAACGACAACTCATTTATGAAATGAGAGTTGAGATTCAAATACAATGTGAATGGATACCAATATATACGAATGTCGTCATAACGAGAATGTAATGCATAAACAAAATTCACAAAATTCAAACAAAACCTACTCCCTCAGCTCCCAAAAATCCAATGAACTTTTTTGCTTTTTATACTTGGCTTCTTTCATTGCTTCTCTTTCCAAAATCATTTTCTTCAATTCATATACATACATATATATATATTTTTTTTAAAAAAAAAAAATAAACCAATTTACTGCTTTTATTTGAATTACAAGCATATATATATTTATTTATCCGATCAATTGTGCGGTAATTATAAAGCAATTATAAAGAAATACCTTTCGCTCTTCTAAAGATTTTGACTTTAATTGTATACAGAATTTAAGACTTTGCCATCGTTGTGAACAATCTTTTCGTTCACCATATCGGTAATAATTAATTGCCTGACCTCCTAGTGCTATTCTCTGTTGAGACATGTTGAGATGTATTTGCTTAAAAAAGAAATATGCCAAATTCAGAATACTCACAATAACACATAACGAAATAATCGAGCTCCGCCGCTAAACTACAATTATATTTATCATCATCTTGTGCCTTTGTTTCAGATGTGTTATTATTGTCCGTTTGGTCGGTCATGGTATTTAAATACCAATATCGAATATTTCGAAATCGATATTGGCGTTAGGTATTTATAGATGAATGGCTTGGGCAATTGTGTAACTCAAATCGATTTACCCGGAAGCTTACATTGAATAAAGTTCTGAACAAAGCAGAAGCGACAACGTACGTACATATGTACGTACTACTTTACCGCTTGTCCATAAAAATAAGTTTAAAATTAATATCCAACAAATTAACATCTTACTAATTAATCTTAATTTAAGTTGTTGGTCAAAGTAATAAAGGATGTAACCCACTCTATCATAATGAAGAATATGCACAATTCAAAAACTTTAGGTCACCTGATAGAATTGTTTTTTGATTAATACGTACGTACGTACGTAGCTTTTCTTGTTTAGAAATTCTCGTAGAAAATTCTTATTAGAAAATTCTTGAAGAATCAAAGAATCAATGATGGATGATTTGAATGACGTACGTACGTACGTACGTACGTAGAAAATTTTAAAGTTATTGTTCTGTATCACCTAAACAATTTATTTGGTTTTCAAACCTCAAGTATTGGCGTAAATTGATGAGAAAGTTGAAATTACATTTGATACGTAGCATATACGTAGTTAAGGTTCGATTAAGCAGTCCCTGACTTTTTTTGGATCTAAGTACAGTTTACGTACAGTACGTACGTATGTAATATCGATATGTTTTTAATTTTTAATTATATTATCTTTTATAAATATACCTTAAAGTTTTAAATTTATGCATATTGGGTTCTTCAAACATAATGAATTACCAATAATCTTTTTACCACACAATAATAAGATGCATAACGAAAATCTTTGTTAACCTATCACTATTGAATATTTTTTTCTTATCAAGAAATGCAAAATGACATACATAAGTTTCTTAATTAGTAGCTTTCGTAGGGCTGAGGTCCTGGCTATTTCCTCGACAAGTTAGTCGGAGTTAGTCGGAATTAGCTTACAAAACCAAGCGTCTCCCAAATATGTAACTCGATTATAATTTCAAACTATATAAATATTAATTAATGACTGATATACACTACGTATTTGTTCTTTTATGTGATCAATACGTATTAAAAATAAAATTTCCAAATATTGTATTATCCCTTAATTCGTCTTACAAGTAAACTTGCTGGCAAATTATCATGATTAATCTATCATATGTTCTATTAATCATATATATCGATACTATCTATACTACTGCTTATTTTAAGCTACACTATGACATTTGATCGATCTAAGGGAAAAAATATTAGAGGCTTTTTCGTGAAAAAAAAAAATTGATCGCGATTGTCGAACGTGTTAAAAATTGTAAAACTGAAACGCGAAAGAAAAATAACACAATATGCAGTTGATA